GTGGAAAGATTCAGTGGCGGATCCAGGGGGGGCAAAATGGGCATTTGCCCCCCCCCCCCAAACGGCATAATTTTAACATTACGCCTATGGACGAGGCATGGAAAGAATCGATAAATTGTTATGGTTTGCCCCCCCCCCCCCAAAAAAAAACTCTGAGCTAGATCCGCCTCTTTTTTATAAATTTTGTCCGAACCTTTTGATGGGAAGGATTCACAAGGACAGAACCACCGCTAAGCGAAGCTTGTTGCGATGACCCTGCCCTCTACCCTCCGATCGCGCAATTCCGATTCTATGGCAGAATTTAGAGTACAAAGTTTAACGTGCGCACAAAGCCGCGCACGGCCGGTCCCCTCGCTGACTTCGCCTGGCTACGGCCTGCCACCAACCGCAACCATACCTGTCAGGAGGCCCATAAATGTCGATCGCCCGTCGCGCTTCGAACCCGGACTGTTATAACCGGGAACGCGTGCTCTCACCACGCGGAGTCCAACGCTCTAACCAACTGAGCTACGGGACCGGCTTGGACCGGTCTCTGGAAAGATTCTTTATATACCAATGTGATCCCTATAACATTGCCTTTTATTTCAACTGCGTTTCATTTCCAAAGTCGTTCACATATGGGAGATATTGGCAAAACTTTGAACCAATGCATGTTGGCCAATTTGCACCACACCCCGGGGCAAAGCGGCCACCGGCGAACTCTAAGTCCCGATATGAGAAACAGAATAGTTGCCTCATGTGCGACTATAGGATATTTGATTGTGACAAGGTTTAAACGAGGATGAACGTTTCTGCGATCTTCCCATCTGTAGGTAAGCAAAAAAAGGACATTCATGAAAAACATTTTTGCATTATTTTGGCAACTTACGGAACCGAAAAGTGGCCGACATGAATGCATGACGATATATTTCAATAGCAATAACGTTTGTTGTCCAGATGGAAACAACTTATGGCCAATTCGGAGCTGGACACTTTGCCCCGAGCATACCGTCTGAGACAAAGATATTCCAGCCCAGCTACTAGTGGGGCAAAATGCATGAAAATTGGCAACAGACGTATACGATAACCACACAATGCATGAACGAGAGCGCTTAAATAAAATTCTAAACGGTTATGGAATGAATAACATTTAAAAATAGTTAAAATAGTCGGTAACCTGGCGAGAAATACTTTTCCATGTATCACAGAACGATGGCGATAGGCCGGAAACCCTGGCCTGGCTCATTCGAACAACGGCGAAGAGAAGTATAATTGGCAACCATAAACTGTAGCGGACGCCAGCTGTGGAGGGCTAAAACCATGGGTGGCCGCTTTGCCCAACTCTCCCCTATGCATGCTCTGGATGTTTTTGTTAAAGGGACCCTCCCACCTTAACATTAGATTTGAGTTGAGATAGCCAAATTGGTGGCCATGGCCTGAAAATACCGGTTTGGGCACTCACAACATCGAAAAATGCTTTAATTCGGAGATATCGAATTTCAAACTTGCAGTTTTCGGATTCTAAGGGGCTAATGTATTGGTATGCCCCCTTAGAATTTGTGACGTCAGCGGAGATCTAACGATTTTAAATATTTTACTAAAACGTTTGGTAGCACGCGGTGGTATATGCTGCTTTGCGCGCAGCAAATGCCGCACTTTCAAATAAAGTCGCTAGGAACAGCGGAGATCCCAAAAAGTAAACAAAAGTAAAAGTCTAATATCTTGAAAACCGGTGAATATTTTTCGATGAAATTTGGTAGATATTCGTTTTTGCTCTTTCTGAACCGAGCGACATCACTTTCATGCCAATTCATTAACTTTTTTGAAGGTGGGAGGGTCCCTTTAACTGAACCATCTTCGATAATAAGTCACGATTCAAAATCCCCCTGTCCGACTCAGTACATGGGATCACCCTTTCATATATATCTAATATATTTCACGACGCATGTTTGTCCATTGTTTAGGCAACGTCAAATCAAATTGTAGCAGCTGTTTGACAAGGGCTACGTGAAGCTCGTCTTTTCTGTTCGCTTCACACGCTAAGCATTGTTTAAGGGTCGAAAGAAACAATCGAACCACGTATTGTTAGGTACAAATTTATGTTATTCCGGAAATGGTTAGCATGTTAATGGGTGGGGATCTCATGTAGTCAGGACTGTGGTGTAGTTTACCGTTATCAGGGAAACATCGGTGATGGTCCGTAACTACTGTTGTATAACCAGAAGAATATCCCTCACGGTATCGTTGGCCATTGAGTTCTAAAGACGTTTGTATCCTATTAATCTAGCCCAACTTTGCTGCTCTGTGACCATTGGCGACTACATGTCATGGCATTTTAAACAATTTCCACATGTTTTCCGCCATTTAAGTGAATTCTGATATATGTGAATAATTTTGTTAGTGCATCATTCATTTCGTTTTCACCATCTTCTACCACCCGGGAGCCATTGAAACTGATTTCCGCCAGAACGCGACTATGTAGGTGTCTACAAATGGCTTGTGATTGTGCCAAGCTGAATGTTTATGTCACAATATGACAATATTGTTACGATAGGGAATCCTGCCGTCATTTGTTGTCAGTTTCCGTGACTGAAAACGTATCTGACAAGTCACGCTTTTAACAAAAGTTCCGGAAATGGTGCACCTCAAAAGGTTCGAACTTTAAATCAGGAATACCATTACAAGCTGTTTCACGGTTGTAACACACATAAATCCCGTTATTTGACACTATGAGCGTGTCGCCCGCGCTGCTGGGTGCCGCCGGAAATATTCACCGATTGGCGTCAATGAAAACTTCCAGAATGGCGAAAAACTGTTTTATTTTCACAGTAGTGGATATTGTCGGTGCGGCGGTATTTATCGCCTTGGGTGCGGCATTGCTATTATGCTTGTATCATAATGAAATTCTGGACCCCCTCTAAACGCTCAAACCTTCCATTTCATTCCTTCCCTCTGCGCCAGTCACGCTGCATATTCTGTGAATTCAGAGACGCCACCACAAAGTCGATCCCATCAGCTCCTTCCTGGAAACAATACTACAACTGACCAGAGTGCAAGCGTGCCTCAGCATGGGCCTCGCGCTGGAAAACACGCTGCAGGACTGGGGACGCGCGACGCTGCATTGCCCATTAAAGCATACAATAGAACAACAAGACACGGATGTAGTGTGATACTAGTGATGATGAAATCAGCTCATTTAAATCTACACGACGTATACCGTAAATGCTTTATTAGTTTGTTGGGATATGTCAAAATAGATAGACGGATGGACGTTTACAACAATCGTTACACAAATGCATTCGTTTATCGCGCATTTGCATTATATTTACGCTGTCCAGCTAAATGCTAGTCTGTGATGTTGATGTGATTGCATTAATGCGTCCGGTCGCAGTTGTTGCATTGCTAGTTCCACACGAAGGGCAATATCAGCAATCAACACTGTCATAGTAGAACTATAGCAATAGGTATCTAACAAGACAAGACAAAGCGAACGACACGTGGTAAGTGCCATCATTCCACATATCTATTTGCCGGCTTGCCAAGTAACGGTACCGGATGTCGGGATGTCACTGCATGGATTGCACGCCACTGCTCCTGCTCTACCGATGGCCGTAGGTATAGGCATGAGCCCCTTTTGCCCCCCCCCCCCTCCCGCTCCGCTTCCCCTCCTCCTATCAGCCATCTGCGCCTCCCTTTGGGCCCCGGCGGACATAATTTGATTACAGCGAAACAGGAATAAGGTTAAGAATCGGACGACATCTACGTGGCCAGTTTTTTTTACCACACCGGACATCGACGAAGAGTAGGGAATGAGTCCCATCTGTGTGGTCAGTTATCACCCCTTCCCTGGTCCCTCTTTACTGAGGAATAAGCATCTGACTGTATTAAAAACAGCAATGCGGGGCTCGGGCCAGCCCTGTGTGTGTGTGTAGGTATGTGTCTACACTACATACAGTGGTGACGGTGGCTGGACCTCAGTACCGCTTTCCATGGCTAGACAAGCAATAACATGCCATTTTCTATCTATCTAATGAGATAAAAGTGTACGACATACTCACTACGTTTCCATGACACGTCGTCGATTTAGAAAAAAAAAATCACGTGCGTTTTTCTCGGATACTATTGACCTAATGCAAAAAATAAGCGTATATATGGTTTTCGCTAACACCTAATCCTATGTTTACATTTTTAAATAATGCCTAAATGCTATGATGGAGCAAATCCATTTTTGCAAAATCGGCTTAACTTGTGCCATGGAAACGTAGCTACTATCAGCAAATTATCATTTTTTTTCTGTCTCCCAAATCCCACCAGACAATGGAATGCCGCGCTACTAGCATATGGTTAATTACGTCTGCCATTTTAAGTATCGTTGGTGATACGCGCGACACTCGAAGACTCCGCAATAAATTCTCAATACGGAACTCCTTATCTATCTGCAAGGGACTGGAGCTGCAGGCGGCTCTCCCCTTCCATCTGCAGGGGGAGGGGAAGGAGGGGGGGCAGGGCAGAATACCTCGATTGCAGCTGCTGGCCTTCTTCTTATCTCGCTAAATATGGCAGCCTGTGCGACACAAGAAAAGATTATACCCACTCGAACAGAATGTGACTAGGTAAGACACAGGCTGCTTCCCACAGCAACTAAGCGTGATAATTTGGGTAATAATCAAAGTAAAACGTAAGTAAGTGTTTTTAGCTGAACAACTTGAAACGAGCAGTGAGGGCCATTGACGTGAATCGGTTTTCATGGAACTGTTGACAATGTTCCATTAGTTTCTGCCGATCGACTTTAACAATAGTGACAGGGGATTATCAAAGGCATATAGCTTTTGTCATAACAGTATCCTAGCTGCATTTGCAATCAATCCTCCACAACTGGCATCTCTCAGAGTGGCGGCCGGCACGGGCAGAGTCGGCGCACGCCGGGCGCGCGCCGCACAACCCGCGCCGCGTGCCTCGCGCGCGCCGCGGGGCGGAGCGTCGCCAATCACCAGGGTACAAGTAGACCTGGCGTGCCGGCGCGCCGCCAGTAGCGCTCCACTCATCGGCGCGTGGCGTGTGGCGCGGGCGGTCAGAGGTCAACAGGCGATATTTCCCACGGGAACTGAAGATTCCTGCTGAGAACATCGTGACATCGTGGGAATCCTGAGAATACCAAGAGAAAAATCGACGGATCTAAAAAAGTCGGTCTCCACTAGAAAAGTCCTATTATCATGTCTACCACCGGCACGGTCCCCATTCGGCCCAGCCCCCAAAAGCCGGCTACCGCGTGCGTTCTGCTGGCACCTGCGCCGGTCGGGTCACGGTCTGACCCAACCCGCGGACCGCGTCGGCCTCTGCCACCCCCTCCAGGACGAAACGTGAAGCGTCGGGGTGCGTACTCCTCCTACGTACCGTCTCCACAGCCGACCAACGTCCTCCGCCGAAACGCCCGCGAGAGGAACCGCGTGAAGCAGGTCAACCACGGCTTCACGGCCCTGAGGAACCACATCCCGGGCGCGGCCAAGAACAAGAAGCTGAGCAAGGTGGACACCCTGCGCCGCGCGATGGAGTACATCCAGAGCCTGCAGCGACAACTGGAGGAGCACGCCGAGGGCCGCCTGACGCCGCAGCAGCAGCCTTCACCGTCCTACCCGACCCCGCCGGCGGAGACAGCCTTCAGCGGGTACCTGCCGCCCACGGAAGGCAGCCCCTCCGTGTCGACCCAGATGACCGGCTACCTCAGCCCGCCTGGCTACCTGCCCGCTCACGATGACCAGTCGGGTGGCTACCTGACCCCGCAGAGCTCACCGGTCGCCTGTCAGCCGTCACCGCTGACACTCACCCCTTCCAGCCTGGCCAGCGTGGACAGCGGCGTGGGTCTGTCGGAGTCGATGGGGTACCCGCTCGGCGCCGCTCACCCCTGTCCAGACACGCCGTCGCCGACTCCGACGGGGCAGATGACCGCCGAGTATGCGTTCCGAGAGGAGCTCAGCTGTCAGGAGCCGGAGCCGGACCTCAGCCCGGAGGACGAGGAGCTACTGGATGCTATTGCCTGGTGGCAGACCAGCCAGTGACAGCCGGCGCCTGAACACCCGTCGGCATCAGGTGAGACTGACTCAATCGCTTAATCCTGGCTTATCTTTTAGTGCGATCAGTGACGTAAATAAGCTCCACCTAGCTGCAGTGCTATTTATATTATTCTAGGTATTACTTATCCCATCATCACCTTCGTAAAATGTAGTGCCTGGGAAGATTGGCTCGGGTCGGATGTTGGTGGTCGATCGTCCATCCGTTTTGTGAGGGAGTGCAGCGCCGCCGATTGAGGAAGGGGGATGGATGGGCCGGGCTGAGTGAGCAGCCACTGCCGGTCGGTGATCATCCCCCCCCTCCGTCACGGGTCGTGGTCAGGGGGGCCGGAACTGGCCTCTCGGCACTGCCACTCGGGCTCCGGTCATCGTCTAGCCGTGGGAACCCTGGCTTCCGGCGGCTCTGTGCCCTCGGACACGCTCGCCGCCGGCGCCGGACGCGCCCGCTCGCTGCTCAGGGGAGTCGGGTCTCTCCCTCCGCTACAGCCTTCAGACTCGAGTCACTCGTGACCGTGACTCGTGGGAGTCAAAAGTCCTGTGCCAATGCCTCACTGCAGGCTGAGTCAAGCGGGCGCCAATGCCAATAACTACCTGTGAACCACCTGAGTAACGTGCTGAAATTGTGGCGAATGATTCGTCCCTCCCTTCCATGGGCGTTCACCACCGCGGCCGTTCAAATGATTCATGGACGGGAAAGCTGAATAAGATTGGTCGCGGGCCGAAATTCGTCATATTGGTAACTATGGCGTGGACGGGTAGTGCCGTTCTTGTCATTATGCAGCTCCACTGGTCAGCCATTGAACTATTTAAGACACCCATTCAGTCTGAGGCACAGTAAATCTCACGTGAAATACCTGTCGGTACCTGCCGAAGCCAGACGCATTTTTCGTCGGTCCTCCATTTTGATTTTTTATAATCAGAGCCTTTGTGCCGGTTGGGTCTCCGAGTCCCTTTCATTGCTCGCCGGACGAATGTCAGAAGGGACCGGACGGGGACATTCATCGTCGCCGCCTAGACGGTCGGGCCCGGCCGCCGTTTCAAATGGGAGCTATCGAGGCCGCGACGAACGGTTACCGGGGCACTGTTCGGTACCGGTAGGGTCGGGGGCAGCCCACCGCCGCAACTGGTCGCGGTTCGCACGGTCAGACCGACACAGATGAAAGTCATTGGCGAGGAGCGACAAGTTTCAAATAACGCTACCAGAACCAGTTGACAAATGTTAATTGGGTGAAACATACGCCATAGCACGCGGTGTGATGTTTTGTCTATCGTTTTCCCACAGGGATCTAGTCAATTACGGAGTTTCCGCTCGGCCCTTCACCGCCGGAACTGCATCCGACACATTTTGGCGGCCGGGCGCCGACATCCGACGCCAGTGAGACGTCATACTACATGGCTACGTCACTGATCGAGCATCACCGGCTTCTCTCGGACATCGTGGACAGTTGGAGGCTCTGTCCCGGCTGCTGACGAATGACCAGGTAATTAAACCTATCCCGGATTAGGTGTCAGTGACCTCAAGTCAACCCTTTCGACAGTATGTCAATAGGACATCTCCCTCCCTTCCCCGAGGCGGGCAGGTGGGCCTTCTACAGACGTTTCTACACCACACTCCCGTCTCGAGTGGTGACTTGATCCCATTAATAACTGGCTCGTGTCGACGTCGATGGATCTGATATAATTGGTGTAACCCTTTTGAACGGGTGTCAGCCGAGCCGTCGATTAATTGTGCCGGCGGTGACGGCGGCAAAAACGACTCGACGTAACGGCGAGTTTCTCTGATCGGCAGGTGGTGGGTGATCTGAGTGCCCGGTGCTCGGTCCGAGCCTCGAGGAGCATCTGAGGAAGCCCAACTCGCCAACGGTCCTACTAGACACGCGACACACTGCAACCGAGAGGGTGGAGACGTACGTCTCCTTTCCACTTGCCGCATGGGCGCGGGAACCGGGGGGGGCAGTGGGGGCAGCTTACCCCCCTAACTTTAGGGCCGTGGAGGCGGTGCCCCCACAACTTTAAGACGGAATATCGCACTTTTTTGCAAATGTTTTCTTTTTTGTTGAAAAAACCAAGGGATGAAAAATAAGTGGCCTAAAACCGGCGAGAAAACTAAATTTGGGGGTACCCTAGGCTGATCTCTATCATGGTGTGCCCCCCCCAGTCTGAAAGTAGTTTCCGCGCCCCTGCCACTTGGTGGACGGGGACCGGATGGCGTCGTATGGGAAAATTTCAGCAGCCCGGGAGGGGAGCAAAGAAATGGGGCATTCGTATTCGGATGCTGTGATCAGTTGTTTATGCATGTTTGTGTGTTACAATCTTTTCCTGACATTGGTGTTTGATATGATCTCGTTAAGATTGTGAGAAATGTTTTTCTGTTAAAATGCTGAGATAGCTGTGAAGTGTTATGAGGGGCCTTTTGTAATGATACGCTTGGCGCATGCATGCTCGATGACTGCTTTGTAAAATGATTGACGGCTCATGTAAAATACTTTGAAGGTGTTTGTATTTTTATACATGCTCGTTTTGTTTTATGTGTCTCGCCTGGATACAGCAATAAACATTTTATAAATAAAGTTGTTTGTTGTTTGCACTTTTAGTCATCTTTACTAAAATTCTTCAGACTCTTTGTAACAAAAGGATATCTTTTGGTTGATAACATTTCACCCGACATTTTCGTTCAATAAGAGTTATTATGCAATATCCACAGAAAAAAAAAACACTGAGGCATAGGTAAGCATGTCCTTCTGAGAAAGGGAATGCAATTGTGCCTAGAAATTTAATGGGGCAGTTCATTTTCTCTCATTTGTTGTCAGCATGACCTATGCACGCAATGAGTCTACAGTAAAAGCAACTGTCAACAACACCAAGCGATAAATGGCAATGATAGCGTGTCGTCATAAATTCAGACAAAGAAACAATGAATCTAAAACATTAATGTCTACCGTTTACCGGTAAATAGTACAAACCATAAGCAAACTAACATAACTTTACAATAAAATGCGTTAAAAAAGGGGATAGTTTGTAAATCGCTGCTATACATAAATATCATAAACAGTGTCAATATCAAATAAATTAATGCTTCGTTCTAACACATATTTTCAGCATATGGCTGGAGCTTCTGCTAGAACTTCGAAAAAAAGATAGATTGCTGCAGCCCTGATCCTGAATCTTAGTCAGCCGTTTAATTGCTTGAGCTCGACTTATCAACCATATGGTCGAACTCCTCAATTTCCTGAAGTTCTGACATTATTTACTTTGCAAACATTCATTTTGGTACACCATACCCCTGTCCAGTGGTGTCCTTTGCAAAGGTCCCTCGACAGCTCGTCGGTGACCTCCCACTGCCCGGAATCGTCACTCGCTTCGCGCCGGTGTCAGCTGGCTACCGGGCCGCTGCCAGTCGTATTCATGAGCTGTGGCCTCCGGTGGCGTCCCCTGGCCTACCCCGGTACCCCGTCCGGTCGGCTGGCACCGTGCCAAGCCCCGCCCCGACCGGCCGAGGGCTCAGGGTCAACCCCGTTGGAGAGACGGACAATGCCATAACATGGTGAAAAAATGTTTTCCTTATACTGGGATAAGCTGTTCCTCGCTAGTAGGAATAATGTCATTTGTATCGGTGTATTTGCTTCAATATTAGATGTCATATAAGTTTGAAGCCATATGTCTTGCCTCATATTTTTCATTCCTTAACAACAAAACTCTGAAGTGACGAACCAGTTTCCAAAAGGTGCCATAATACTACCAATGCCCTGTAATGAAGAACACTCTGATGTTTCTTATTTCAGAGACGCTAGCTCAGTGAGTCATTGAAAATTTTACAGTGCCGTTGACTTGCACTAGTTCGTTCTAAATTTCCTGGGCCATTCTTTCCAAAACCAAGGCTATACAATAACAAAATAGAATACATCATTTCGAGGGGTAGAACACAGCATAGAGCGACAGCATTTAGACGCAGATGCCCTTTGTTTTACGCAGAGAACGCGGGGTACTTACAAGTCGTTGATGAGAAGATGCGAGACCCTACTCCACGTCAAGAGTGATTCCACTTCCAATCAATACAATCAACTATCGTGCCAGATCTATATCCGAGCCGATTAGTCAAAGTTCAAACAAAACAAAGGAATTACGGTCATTGCCATCATATCGCACTGTCGGATAGGATTGCTCAAATACCCGACAGCCAGCTTCAGAAGAGCACTAGAAGTGGTGACACTGCGCGATTAATTGCTGACGTATGAAGATTACTAATGCCATTCTGCTAATTTATTCCAACTTTTCATGCGAGTGATCGATGTTATCTTTAGATCTAGAGTATGAGCGGGCAGTGGGCAAAGGCATTGACGGGACAGTAGTGCATGAGGGTTGTCGACGAAGTATCAGATGCATCTATCTTTCACCACTGGTATACCTCTCCCCTTTTTCCCTTGACGGAGACATGTCCCACGGATTCCCCTACCCTTCACCTGTCATAAAATGTCACTGAATAACTGGCTGAGCTGGCTGGCTCAGAGGACAAGCGACAGAGACATCCCATCTGGGGCTGAGCGTCGTGGACTGATCATGGACTGAAATATGCCTGAAATAATCTTTTATGAAACACTGGTGCAAATTAAAGTTCAAATGGTTTAACCATCAAGATGAAACAGTAATTGAAACAGTAGAAAAGTTACGGCTATCATAACCACACAATTTTCTGCAAATATTTTGAATAGGTTTAGATATTGACGAGGCATGCTGCGGTGCCATTTTTTGGGAGCTCAGTTACATAATATTTGAGGGAACATCTCGTGGGAAAATGCAGCCTTTCACACGAAAGGTCACGTGAAAATGATTATCGAAACAGGAATATCATTTTTCACAGCACCTGCAGTGATCACCTATGCGGCAAATTGATCTCAACCTCGCAAACATGACTTCTTACAATAAATTAATGTTAAATTCAACATTTGTAACGCCTATGACAAACCGCTTTTCACTCTTACATGGACGCTAACAGTCAAAAGTAAACGCTACGACTGAACGTACATATAACGTCACAGTGGTCGTCTTCGAACGAATGCGTAATAAGTTATTGCAGGGGTATCTTCCATTGATACTCCTTTCTTTTTTTTTTCTTCCCTTTATTTTGACACTCGTACCGGCTGCTTGCCATTCAAACACACCCAGTAGCAGTAGCCGGGTGATTTAAAAAGCCGCATTCCATCCTCTGAGATATTTAGTGGCGATCCTGTCAACCCGCAGTCACCACTGTAATCTGTCTTTGGGACACAAACAAAAACCACCGCCGCCGCCGCCGCACCGGCCGCCGCCCGCCGCGACCCGCCACCGGTCGCCGAGTACGCTACCCACCGCTCGGCGCCGGGTGTGGCCATTAATACGGGTCATTTCTACACCATCCGTCTTGTTTTGTTTCGGCGATTGAAACGTTTGGGCCGAAGGTCGGCACCGCCGCGACCGACGCCAGTAAATAACGGCTCTCGACAAAATGATGAACGCTAATGGCGTGCACAGCACGGGGAGCCGGCAGCAGAGGTGAAATACTGCCGCGGGAATGTCGGACCCACGGGGAACTGCCGCCCCACCCTGCACCCGCCCCAGCGGGGTAGGGCCACCGGACGGCCACCACTGGGCCATCTCCTGCCGCTGTGTCGGAGGTGCCCTCTCCAATTAGAGTGCCATTATTTCGACGATCGAAGCCGACCGGTTTGGGATCCAACAAAAAACAGTCGACTGCGTGACGGACGCAGCGACCTCTTTTCTTATCCATTTATCTTGCAGACAAATGCGACGACATTTTGGTCATTTTTATTGGAGCTTAGATTACTCTATCTTATTGATTGGTGGAGGGAGATATTGGAGAATTGGTCTGCTCAGTCAACCATTTTCTAAACGATCGGGTAGCTTCGAGCGCCCGGTCAGAAACCTTATATCCAAGATGATCAGACAAACTGAACTTCGACGAAATCGCTCATCAAGAAAAATGGGATCATATTCGTCACTATGCCAGAAATTATGGAGCGAGTGCGTCTTTGAATGTGAGCTATTGGATTGTCATAGCAGTAAAGTGTCTTCAACTGCAGGAATAACAGCGAAATGCTTTTGCGAAAAGAAGTGCTATCAAGATGCTGCATAGAAATTTCTTCAAGTTCTTTGCCTTGTGTCACGTAGTGCTTACCTAAAAATGTTTGATTGTGCTGCAGCTTTCAGACCAATGCAGTCATCTCGGGCCCCAATGCGGACCAGACAGACTGACAAAGGGGGTAATCTGACCAATTCAGGGATAGGAGTAACCGCAGGTTGTTTGAAATAGACAAACACTATTCGTTAAAATTGTGTTTTTCTATTGTATGCAACTTCTGACAGTCAGGAGGGTGAGAGAAGTGTTCAGCTGGCGGGAATATGACATGGGAGGCGTTGTCAAACTGCTGATGAAAGCTATACGGCAAACTTCGCAAGCATGAATTTGTTATGAATGATTAGTTTGTGTTCACTGGAACAAAGCACTTACCTTTCCGAATTTTATAAAAACTTTGCAAAGTTTTGCTATAAATATGATAAATAACGTCGCTGATATTGTGAAGCTGTGAAGTTCCCGTAAATGTTGCGAATGGTGTTACTTATAATACAATTTCTATATTATCCGGTTATTCGATAAAGTATTTTGCAATAGCTGGTTTTATTATAAAATGTCCAGGGATTTGCAATCATGTTGCGGTTGAGTAGACAGAGCAGGATGTGTAGCTTGAGCGGTCCTTTCAGGTCAGCACTTTCGCCAGTATGACGCTCCTCCCGTTGATGCCGCCTCACAGCTGTCGTATTTGATAGCATGGAGACTGCAGTGCCGAGTAAGAGAGTAGCCCGCCCGGAGACTGCAACCGGGAATAGCAGTGAGCCGAGCAGGCGGGCCCGGGACAGCCTACCACGCCAGGCGGCAGCGGAAAACGGTGACGGGCGGGGAGGGCGGAGACCACCCACTTTTTACCCGAGTTCGTCGGCACGTAACCCGACACCAGTCGCTCGGAAGGGCGCTGAGGGACACCCGTCTATCTACCGTGCCAGTCCACGCATCGACAGCGGCAAACATTAGAGCGGCAAGCTGGTGTTTGCTGTGTGCTGATCAAATAGCCAGACTATCGGCGTGCGGGCATGCCGGACTGCTAACCCCTCCCAAACGCGCACCACCCGCTACACAACATATTTACCTCCAAACTATTGCGGGAGTGGGCTCCGAATCTGCCTCCACGGGGCCACTACCCTGGGTGGAATGTTTTTACACCAGGGAGGGGAAGGCGTCGGTCCCCCATGGGGTCCGCGCACGCTCCTGTCTGGCTTCTGTACGCTCGTCCGCCCGGTCCAGGGCACGCGAGGGGTCGGACGGGGGAGGGGAGGGGGAAGGGCGGCAACAGGTGGCAACTGTGGCGGCCTGTGAGCCGGTCTGTCGGTCGTCGGGTCGGCGCGGCGGCCCGGGGCAGCGGGGGGACCAGATGGAGCCCGGCCACTCAACAGCAGACTA